TTGTTACAGCACGGAGAGAGGCTGTGTCACCCATGTGCTTTTGCTCGTTCTCCCACTGGAGCTCTCCAATCTAATCCCATTCCCTGCTTTCTCCCCATTGTGTCTGTGCTGGCCCTTCCCTTTTTGAATAGCGCCGTGGGATCTTTAATGTCTACCTGAACAGGTAGACAGGCCTTCTGTTCAATGTCTCATCTGAATGCTGGCACCTTCTGACAATGCAGTGCACCCCCAGCACTGTGTTGGGGTGTCAGTCAAGACTGAGAGATCAAAAGCCCCACATGAAGCCTGAACCCGAAACCTTCTGACTCCGAGGTGAGAGTGCTCCTGATTTAGCCATTTGCTTGGGGGGCGTATGGAAAGGCAGGAAGCATCCTGGGGTGGGGTCAGTCACAAGGGCAGATCGGAAAGTTACGGGTCACAGTTCTGGGTAAAGTTTGAACAAAGGCCCAACATCAACACAGGTATAAGATCGAAATCCCATCAGAAACATGAAGCTGTTGCTTCTCTGTGTAGTGTTATTATTAGACTCCTGTTTGTGTTTTTTTGTTTCTCCACCAATTTCCTCACCAACTTGAAGACATTTGTCTCCTTTTCCTTTCCGTTGGGGTGCAGCTCCGTGGGCGGTGGGCTCACTCCGTCCCACCCCTCATGTCTGAGGGTCTCAGCAGTGAGAGTGTGTAGAACTGGTGCAAGCTCCACCTCCCTTCTTTGGATTGAAAGGAGCAGCAGGAATCCTGGCTGATTTCTCCCCCACTTTCCTCACACAGGGGCTGTTGAGGCCAGGCCAATTGGAGGCCCAACTGTTGACTCCTCTGAGACCAGGGTTGGACCATCTGGGTCTGAGTCAGCCTTTTGCTGGATACATTCACTGAGGGAGGGAGAGGTCTTTATTAGAGGTCTGTTCCATTACTGTATGTTTTCACAGTGGAAAAGGCAGAGTCCTTATTTGAAGAGTCTCTGCTTTGGCTGTGATGCACCTTACACGCACACACACATGGGAGTTGGAAAACCATGTGCAGATGTTTGTTTATTATTTTATGGGGCGCGGAGGCCGTTTTACTGAAAATTAATGGAAAAAGTTGCAACACAAAACGCACAGATGCAGTGCGCACCGAGAGCAAGACATCTGCAGGTCATTTACATCTCGGCTGACTAAACAGGTTGGTCGGTTGTGTCTGGCTTTGATACGCTCTGTAATGTTTGTTGTTGAATAATTCTGAGTATCCTTGCACTTGATCCAGCATTTTATTATGTTGAAATGACTCAAGTTCTTCATGTAATGAACTGCTTTGAATTGTAATGGCTGTTCAGTCAGCAAATGTTCCACAAACAGCGATGAGATGAATTTTTTCTCTTCCATTTGTATTTTCCTTTTGTTTAACCCTTTGAAGATACTTTTTTTTAACATTTTCTTTCACTTCATGGGTGTTTGTGGGACATTGCTGGGTGCTAATTGGCTGCTGCATTCATCTACATAAACAGTCATATTCAGGAAAATCCTGTGAAGCGATCTGAAACATCTCGACAACGTGATAAGGCGCTATAATCAAATGCAACGATTATTATTTCTCCCTTAGTACAGTTCCACAATCATCAGATGATCTCAGCAACAGGGGCTCAGGTGAAGAATACCCGTTTGATCTCATCATTCCCAAATACCCACCTGTGTTCTGTCTTTATGGTCTTGGCATCTCAACTAAGTTGTCATGCAAGAGCAATTCATCTACTGCTTTGATGATTTGGAGGGAGGAGTAAAGACCAGGCCACTGAGATTGCACTTGTTCTGCAGCTGATGCTCTGAGGAGCCCCATTTCCAAGTAACTAGTCTGCACCACCAGGTGATGCACATGTGGTGAGAAGGTTCATCAACAGTATTTCTGTGAAACTGAATTCGCTTGGTAACGTTACCTGGTGATCCTGGAAATGGTATGGGTGGAGTTGGCAGAGTACAGGGGACTGGAAAGGTTGGGATTAGTCGTGAATGACCCAGGATAGTGTGCTCCCCATAGGGCAGAGTTGGAGAGTGTAGATTGTTCCGTAGGCTAAGTTTATGGTGATTGCATCCTGCTTCGTTTTGCCTCTCTGTCCTGTGAGCGCACAGAATGATAATGAATAATAACAATAATAATAATGAATGTCTCGCTGTGTTCAAAGCAGCACTCCGCAGTGCACTGTGTTGGAGTACAACATACCAGCTCTCTCGCCAGTAGGACTCTGAGCAGGATTCCAATGGTCTCAAACACAAAGTGCTTTTGAATGATTAGTTTCTCCATCTCTCTAGAGTTTTCATTAGGATTTCGAACAGTTAAGTGGCAGACACTTGGTTTATTTCCAGCAATTAAGTAGCGTGCCAGTCACTGGTAATCTTTCACCATCTCGTTGCCATTAGAGGGATCTCTGTTGTAACACTAGCTGTTATAAGCCTGCTGGGCACCGCTAACATTTTCCAAGTCACATTCTGTGGTGCTGTTGAATATGTGGTTCATTATAAAGTGTCGATTGAGCACAGATTTGTTTTCCCATTTTAAACCCACACCCACCTTTCCTTGAAGACAGTGACAAAGGCGCCTCCTGCTTGTGAGCAGACGTTGTGTGAGGGGAAGGATTGGCTCGGCTGCAACTAGCCAAAACTCACTGGCAAGAAACTATGGAAATAATGACTACCTTGATGCAGTGTCAATAACAACTGGCCTCCTTGGGATAAGACCCACCTGCTAAAGAGCCAGATACCTTCAATGACAACAACTTGCATTTATACTGTGCCCTTCAACTAGGAGAATGTTTCAGAGTGCTGTGCAGTGGCAAAGTTAGACACCGAGCAAGGTACAGGGGGGAAGGAGGAGGTGTCCATAGGCCCAGTTGGAAGAAATAGGTTTTAAGATGGGACTTAAAAGCTGATAGAAAGGAGTTGGGATGGGATGAGGGAAAAATTGTGGGTTCAGGCCAAAATGTCAGACCTTGAGCTCAAGTGCCTCCATTGTTTGAGGTGTTGAGCTTCAAATGAGATGTTTCACTGAGGTCTGCCTGCTTCAGTCAGGTGTTAAAGATTCCAAAGCACTATTGGGAATGGGAAGGGAGTCTCCGCCACTGGTGTCCTGGCCAACAATCCTCTGGGCAGATGAGAAAGCGATTCCAGAGATATAACCAAAACGTTTCTTTTACGCACTCCCCTGGTTTCAGTTGGAACATCTTGTGGGTTTGTCTCTTTGACAGCCAGCAAAATGGCACAGCACTTTGCAGAGATGGTGTGAGAGATAGATTGACAAAACAGGCCACCAGCCAACAACTCTGTTGACATCCAATCTGACCTACTAGCAGCCAGTTAGTGAGTGCAACTCCCAGTGCAATGGCCTGGAGGGCAGAGTGACTCACCGCGACTCCCACCTTCCATGTAAAATGTAGATCAAATAACCACAAGATCAATTACCCACTTCCGAAACTTCCCATGGCTTTGTTTTATCTGACAGATGTGGTTTTGTAAAGGATTAAAAATTGGGTTATGTTTCACAAAACTGTAACGCAAAGAGGCTAATCCGACAGTCTCAGTCACTGTTAATCATCATTTTAATGACACCAACTGGCGTCTGTTGTTGATTGCTCACTCAAGAATTGCTCTTAATGATTCTATTTGGGCTCCATTAGTCAAAAGCATCTCTTGAACATGTTGGGGTTGGAAAAGAGTGAGCTGAGAGTGTATCTGAAGCAAGCCTTGCATCTGATTTGTTTGTGTATATAAATGTGGGAGGAGAGAAGGGGGGGCACTGCACGGGCCTCTCTTGGAGGATGATGTTTATGTCACAACTTTGCACTCCAGAGATCTGTACTAAAGTCTGATGTCACCACATAAGCAGCTCGGTGAAATTTATTCATAGAATCTTACAGCACGGAAAGAGGCCATTGCTGGTGCACATTGGTGTTAGCCTGCAGATCAATATTGACCACAAATTCACATCATTCCGTAAAGGGCTTTGCATTGTTTCTCTTGTGGTGAAGAGTGCTGTATATGATGTAAGTGGTCACTGCTTTTGGTGCCAAGTCCATGACAGAAGAACCGTGTGCCAGCTCAAAATTGGTGCAGAGTAGGAGGGGAATTGTGTGAATAAATCCTCTGCTAATTCCAAGCATTCATGGGGTTAACCGTTAGTTTTGCTGAACGATAAATGGCTACAGTTGGGACCTGAATCTGCAGATTAACATTCCAATTAAAGAAAATTTTGAATGCATTCCTTCCAATTTGTCTAATTGGATAAAAATGCTCAGTGATGGATGATCATGTCTAATTATACCAAGGGACTCGAAGCTTGGAGTTGAGCAAGTTCTAATGTCGGTGTGTACTTTGGCTGATCTTAAATCTTTGGCTCTGTAAAAGACAGGCCTTAAGACAAAATAAAGTGAGGAAAATATTTGCAGCATTCTCTGTTCCAACTCAGATTGTGCCGAGCGATTGGGATACATCCCACATTCCACGTGGGAATAACCCGCAGTGCAGAATAAGTATTTTAATCTCCAGGTCTAAAACTACAGATATAAATTTTAATTAACAGATTCTCCGCCAACACATCCCCAGAGGTGATGCTGTCCTGGTTATATCTCTTAAGATCAATTGTCATCTCAGTGTGTAGATATGGTACATTTGACTTGGCGGATTGCTTTTCTGGGGGTAATAATACCTTCAAAAAAATAATAATAATAATTTGGTCACTCAGTCCACGACTGTTAGTGGTACACCGTTGTGCACAATTGGCTGTCGTGTTTTGCCCACAAAATATACAATCAATTCACGTTGCAGTTTATTCTGTGAGGCACTTTGAAACGTTTCAAAGAAGTGAAAAGGCGCTATTTCAAATGCAAAGATTATTATTTTGTCGTGTCCCCCACCTCTGTACATCCTTTGTTCTAAATATCAGTCTTTTGAATTAATCTCTCGAGACTGAGCAGGAGTAATAATTTGCATTTCACATGTTTCTGTCCAGTTATTGAAGTTCTTTTCTTGTTGACAGAAACAACCTGGGAACGACCAGCAAGTGCTCCTGGGACTCCCAAAACTCCGATCTCACAGATGAATTCCTTGCCGACAGGTAACGTTTGCTGAGAGTAATCATTGAAGATCAGACGTTCAGTAGGACACGGCTGACTTACAATTTCCTTCCTGTTTATGAATTAAAAGGCATCAGCCTGGCTCAGTTGGCAGCAGCACCCTCGTGTCTGAACTCACGGTTGAAGCTGACTCTGCAATGTAGTGCTTGGTACCATTCTTTGGACTAGACGGATCACGCCTGCCTGTTCGGGAGATGGGGTGGGGTCTTACGGATTCTGTGATGCTATTCAAAAAGAGAAGAGTTTCTCCAGGCGCACTTGGCCATAATCCCCCAGATAAATCAAAACACACAGTCAATACACTTTACAGTATATCCTGTGAAATGCTTTGAGACATCTCAACGACTTGATGAGGCTCTATATCAAATGCAAGGATTATTATTATAGATTAATCAGTTATTCAGCTCCTGGCTGTTTATGGGACATCACTGTGAACAAATTGGCTGCTGCATTCATGTACACAATACACATCCACTGCAGTTAACAGTAATTGCTGTGAATCCCTCTGAGACATTTTGATGTTCAAGGCTCTAAATCCACAAACACAAGATTTATTAGAGATATAATTTTTTTTCTCCTTCCTCTGGATTTTTGTGGGCAATGGGTTCACTGGCAATCCCAGTCCCTTGTCTCCACCAAAAGCACAAGGAATGAGATTATGAACCAGAAAACTTAAATCGACTTGCCTCTGCTTCCGAGTTTCAGCCCTGGCACAAGGGACTTTAACTGCAATGATTCAGTGTTGCGTTCACTGTCTCTTCATAAACGCTTGATAGTGTCTAATTTATTGGTGCGAAGAGCAGACCGTTGAGAGTTTAATAGCTTGTACACAACAAGAATGGTTCAAGGAACTGAACAGACCCTTGTGTTTCTTGTTCTGTTATTTCCCACCAGCTTGAAAATTCAGGATTCAAAAGCAAGACTGACGCAATGGGCTGTCGTGTTTCGCCCACCAAATATACAGTTACTTCACTGTACAGCAAATTCTGTGAAGCGCTTTGAGACGTCTCAAAGATGTGATAAGGCGCTGTATCAAATCCGAGGATTATTATTAATATTAAACAAGCACATAGGGAAGTTAGGAGAAATCTTTTCGCTCACGCACACAGAGTAATTGGATATGGAATGCCCTGCCATCCCCCCCATTCTAACAGTTGTCCAGCCTAATGTCACTCACTGTTACGATGTACATAACTAATAAACCCCAGTGAGTGAGACACTGTAGGGTGTGCATGGAACTACTCCCAATAGAAGGAAAAAAGAAATCTAAACATGCTCAGAAGAGGGAAGCGATAGAGAATTGGAGGACATAAAACAGGTGGAGTCTTTAATATGATAAAATGTTTATCTTCCACCCTCCAAGAAGAAAAGAAGCCCCACTGTTCCAGTTCAGTGTCATTCTTACTGTTGCTGTTTGTTGCTCTGTTTTCAGTGAATGGCTTCCACTCGTCGAGCAATCTGTCGCACCAGTCTGACACCTCGCACGTGGCACTGAGGAAAACCAGCAGTGATCCGCAGGTAATCCGCTCGCTCTGTGAGGAGAGCGCCCGTCGTCCTGACTCCTGCACGGACCGCAGAGTTTAACCCTTTCACTCCCTACCCTTCCATCTCAACATTATCTATAACAACTTTTATTAAAACGTCCCAATGTTGGGCCTCAACCCAAAATGTTCTGATCCAGGAGATGCTGCCAAACGGAGCCTGGCTGGCAACTAAACACTTGAGTTGCTTCTATTCTTATCCCAGAAATAGCTTGAATGATCTCCGGTTTGGAATGGCAGAATGTTTAGTGCAGACAATCGATCCGTCAGGTCAGCACTGGTGCTTCCCCAAAATAAGTCACCAGGGTGAATCCCATTCTCCTGCTCGATCCCCTTAACCCTTCATATTTCTCTCCCAAAGATCTAATTCCTTTTTAAGAGACCTTATAGACCCCAGTTTGTGGCGGTTCATTCCACAATCCAACCACCTTTTCATTATTGACTTACCAGCCAAGTGGAAATAATCTATTGCTATTTACTCTTGTTGTAACCCTTCATCATCTCGAAGATCTCTGTCAGTTCGTTTGCTGGGACTGGGGGAAATGCGTAATCACTGATTCATCAATTCGTCAATAAAACCTTCCATGGTTCATGCGTGCAATCAACCTCGGACTCTCCCCTTCCAAAACCTGTCTTAAAAACCTTGTTCATTGACTGTGCTCTTGGTTACTTCCCTTCTGCCCCTCGTCTCTGTCTCCCACTCACATCCCCCCCATCCTGCTCGGGCTCCCACTCCATCTGTGTAAAGTGCTTTGCGCTATTTCTCTCTTATGAACGACACTGATTGAGTGCAAGTTGTTGAAGTCCCTTGTGAGGCTGTGTGAGGCTATGACACATTGAAAGACCCGAGGCATTTGGGAAGTGAGGAGTTAATCAGACGCCGGCAGCGCTGAAGTGCTCGTGGGAGGGGGGAGGTTCTTGTGTTGTGTTGGCTTTGGATGATTTCCCACTTCCCACCGGCACCCATGTGCTAACTCTCGCCCCTCGCCGTGTCTACCTCGCTCAGCGAGCGAAGCCTCTCAGTCACCCCGATTGTCCCCGCAAACCAGAGCAGCCGAGTGTCAGCCACTGTCAGCCGGCGAGAGGAACAGAGAGAGCGAGCTCCCAGCCAGCCAGCTGAACTAACGCGTTATTAGCCACTACTTTCATTTCCCTCTCAAGAAAAATGACCACAGCCGTTCCCTATTCTTTCCCTCAGAGCCCAGGACCCGGGTCACCCACAAGACGACAGAGCAAGGAAAGCAGCATAACTGTGAGTACACCGCTTACTTTCTGCGGAGCCTAAAAAAAAAATCCCAAGGCTTTGCACTAAAATATTCTCAGTGGTTTGTTGTTGCTATAGCGACGTAGCTGAATGAGTGGGAGAGAGACTTGGATTTGTTGACGAGTGCCTGGAGAAATTACAACCGTTAGTTTCCATCGAGAGGCAAATCTGTTATTCCAGAAATCATTTTGCTTCTCTCTTCCTCAGCGAACAAGCTGAATAATTCAAGGGAGCCTTTATAGAGCCAAGGCATGCCCAAGGGGGGGGGAGAGAGAGCGAGAGGCAAGGCAGAGAGTTGATCCAATGTAGCACAATACGTTGACTGTAGGGCAGATATTCCTGCTGCTAGCAGCTGCTTTTCTGCCGCCGGACCAACCATTAACCATATGTTTGCCAATCTGTGTGAGAACTGGCCCTTGTTGGGCTCCGAAGGGGCAAATATTGAGTGACTTGTCGTGTTGGTATCAGCCAATCGTTCAGTTGCATTGCCTGGGCTCCGTGTGGATTGTCGCCCACCCCCCCCCCCACCAATCCCAACACCCAGCTTGGGAACAAATCCCTGACTATCCAGCCCCTTGGGACGTGCTCCCGACGTGAAAGGCGCAGTACAAACGTAAGTTGTTGTTGTCATTACCTGCTGTTACATTAAACTGAGCTGCCTGCCCCTGATTTTGGGGGGTTTATGGTGACTTTTTAATTAATCTCTGACCTTTCTCAAACCCTCTTTTATTACTGCACAGTCAACTATTAATGCCACCGACACCTCCAGCGATGCTTCAAGTTGTCTTTACCAAATAAAGTAACAGAGGATAAGTTCTCTCTTTGGGGCCCTTTTGTATCGTGTAGAAGTACAGAGATACTAACTTGCTCCAAGCCCTGCTTGGCCTGTAGGCTGGCTCTGCACTCACTGCTGACTTGGTTGATTTCCACAGACCTGGCCTATCACATGTCTTATGAATTGGTGCCTCAACAAACTTGCAAGTTCTTCCCCCTCCTTACTGATGCCCTTGCTATTGCCACAGCGAACATGACATAGGCACACACACTGCCCAGTAACTCGAAGCCCCCACCTAGAAGTCTTAGGCGCTATACAAATGTAGTTTTGTTGTTATCTCTGGTTGAATAGGCCCTTAATCATCTGAAGTTATGTCATAATTCTCCACGTCTAGTTCTATCCAGCAGTTCCTCAGTTGTGTATTTCTTTACCCAGAGGATAAACAACAACTGGAGCAGTGTTTCAGGAAGGGAGGTTGAGGCCAGGGCACCGGCACCAGTCCCTGCAGTGAGGAGGGTTGGTTGTCGGCGGGCGTTCTCTGTTCTCCATACCTTGTGCCCTGGCGGTGGAGGGGATGCAGGATCAATGCTGTTTGGCACTGAGAACAGGAGAGAAAACCTAGTGTAGTGGAGTGTTGGGCGTGTTCCTGGCACGGTGCCATCAGATCACAAATAACTCCTGAGAACCCGAGTGTTCATCTCTAATAATGTTTATACCATAATGACACAACAGTGGATTCCGCTACCGTTGACGGTGGATCATAGACAGATGACAGCTGAGACGATGTTCCAATCGGGCAGTTTGATTGCTGCCATAAATCCAAAAGTCTACGTTGAATAGAATTCTTCTGAAACCTGATTTTTTCTCAGTATTGGTCTGTGTTTTTGGTCTGTGTTTCTTTTTAAAAGAAGTCCCACTTGAAAATTATTTGTTTACTTTTAGTTATTCTAGATTTGCTAACATCTGTTATGTACCCAAACATTGTGCGGAAATCAACCCAATCCCATGGGTAGCTATTGGCCAGCCCCAGGATTTTCATTGCATTCTTCCAACAACTTGCATTTGTGTAATGCCTTTCACATGAAAGTAATATGCCTGGAAGTACTTGACAAATGTCCTGGCTGGCACCAAGCAGGGAAATGAGAGATTTAAAAATGTTGATCAGAGGCATGGAGAAAGAGCGTGAGTTGCAACAACTATTTACATTTATACAGCGCCTTTTATGGCGAGAGGTCATCTCAAAGTGCTTCAGCTAACTGATGGTGTCCAGATAGGGAAAAGGAGCTGAGGGGGAGAGGATAGGTGCCGGGAAGTCCTACAACAACAATTTGCATTTATAGAGCGCTCCCTCATGTAGGGTAGCGCCCTAAGGTGCTTGATAGTAGCAGAGCACGATGCCGAGCCGGGGGAAGTATTGGAGAAGATAGGCAAAGGCCCTGAAGACCCGGATACTGATGGTGCAGTGGGAAGTCAGCTGTAAAGCAGAATTGGAAGAGAAGGTGAGGACTGCAATGTCAGGCTGGAGCAAATTGCATAAATACGGTGAGGCAAGACCATGGAAGCTTTGAAAGATCAGGACAAAGATCTCAAGCTTGATCCTCTGAGGTACTGGGAGCCAATAGAGTGGGTTGGACAGCTCTGTATCATTTACTGAACCTTCTGGACAGTGGAACTAAGGAGCTGCACTTGACCCACTTGGTGAGGGATGCTCATGTCAAATATTAATATATTTCTTTAACCAGAAGGGAAGGATTTGAACGGAAAGTTTCTCCCTCCAGACTTCCTTCTCCTTTTAATAGAAAGTTCCTGTTTAGTCGCATGCGCCACTTTGCAAACCAAGTAGAGGCAATGTTACTATGGTTACTTGACTCCAATGATAGTGAGTGGGAAATCATAATGTCGCAGAAATCCCCCCCCCCTCCCCCACCCGGTGTTTTATCGCATCGAAGACACGTGATCCCTCTGAGTAGTCCTCTCGCCGATTCTCACGATGTTGTTGATTAATTAATTAAAGCGTTTCACGGGGTTTTACTGTGGAGTGCAGTAACTATGGATTTTATAGACGACTGTCATATCATCTGCACACAGCAATGCCCTCAAACAGCCATGAAGCGAATGATCTATTTTATGTGGGGGATTGTCGGCCCGGGTCACTCGGAGAAACTCTTCTCTTTTCAAACCGAAAGGTGAGATCAGAAACCAGTTGATCTACACCCTGTTCCTCCGGTCGCACTGCAAGCTGATGTTAGGCGATCTGGCCAAGTCCTGGCGTCGCCGCCCCCCCCCCCCCCTCCCCAGGTACTCGCTCTTGTCCAGTGCAGCCTGTGGCTCGAGGCTTTGAGTCCTCCTCCTTTCAAGCCAGTTACCTGTAATCTAACTTTGCTGTGAGGCTCTCTGTGTAGATCCACACTCCTCCTAATCCTAAGCATTTACCAAGTGCCAATTAACTTCCAAGAGCTGTAATTTGTGGCTGTTCTATAAACAGTACTTTAGAGTGGTCCTTTCCCACTGCTTCAGGAAGCAGCTCGATAAAGGCTTAAAAATATACACTCGTCTGTCCTCTTTGTGAAATCTAATAGTGGCACAGCAATAGAGTTGCTTTTTTTTAAAACACCCTTTTGTCTGACGTAGTCATTTCTCTCTTTCTCTCTCTCTCTGCAAGTTTGAGGAGAATACTCCTATTTGAGCAATGAGAGCTGATGAGATTATTAGTGCAGATACCTGCAAGGCATTATTAAGTCTGACGGTGGAGGTAGGTGAATTAACAGTAGATGCAGTCATTAAGATAGGGGGTGTGTTAAGGCATCTTGATGTTTCAATTGTGCTTATTAATTGCAGCACAGAGCTTGTGTAGCACAGGGTTAACAGCGGCTGAGCAACTCGCTGGGGGTGGGGGGGTGGGGGTCGGTGTTTGTGTGTGTGTGAACACCCTCTTTCAGTTTTTCTCCTTGGGAGGCTTGGGAGATGCACATTAATCTTCACCAGCCATTTATTATTGAATGTGAAAGCCCTCCTGCAATGTCTGCTTTGTGCTTTGATTTGTTGCTTTATTACGATAACACTGGCACTTCCAGGATGAGTTTGCAAAGTGAGAGTTCGCTGCTTATCAGATTTAATCGAAGCCTGGATTGGAGAGGGCATTTGTCATTCCTGCCACAATTTGTCTCGTTTCTGCCAGTGTCGCAGCTGGTGATGGTGAAGTTGACGAATGCCAGTCACTGAGCACGCTGTGAGCTGGTGAAGGATTCCTCCTTCCCTCCCCTGGCTCGTGGTGTAACCGATTCTCTGCCAAAATGTGCTGCGTGAACACCGCCTGATCTCAGGGAAAAGGCGGTGGGTGAGAGTGCATCGAGTAGCCTTGAGCTGGAGAGAGGAAAAAAAACACATAGTTCGAAACCAAATTGAAGTATTTGGGCGTCGTTCAGCTGATACCACTGTAACTCTGTACATTACACGACAGAACTGCAACCAAATCGGAGATTCGTAAAACTAAAATCCTCGAACGTTTCCCAAACTCGAAAGAAATCAACTGGCTGATATATCAGTAAATTAAAATAATAATAATAATAATAATAATCCATGCTTGCATTTGGTACAGCACCTGATCACGGTGAAAGGGCTTCTCAAAGCGCTTCACAGGATTTACTGTGAAATGGAGTGACTTTGTATTTTTAGGCAATCGCAGCAGCACAATTGCAACGTCCCACAAACAGCTGTGAAACGAATGACCAATTTTCTATTTAGCGGATTCTTGGCCAGGAGATACTGGGAGAATCTTTCGAATTAAGTCGATCACCAAAATTTCTCTCATTTAGATTATCGCCCCCGTGTTCTGCTTGCTCTTCCCGTTGAAAGCAGATTGTGAGGAGCCGGCTGTACTCGGGAAGTTGTGAGCAGGCTCTGCCTGCAGAGGAAATCGCCACGCTTGGAAGCACATTCAAATTCTTCTGTCTGCTCCTTCTCGTTTGTACGTGGCTGAAGTGCGCGGATAGTGACCGGGTCTGGCAGCCACAATCGTAGAACTCCCAATATCCCCCGCTCCAGTCAACAAAATATAGTGCGGCTTCGCCACCCTAATGAGGCTGACTTGAGAAGCAAAGACCTGAAATCTGACTCATTCTCTCTGACCTCCGCCATCTCCTTGTCACTTGGCTAGCTAGGTTGCAGTTAGCCAGGCATTCACTTCTGTGATGTTCTAATATGTTAATGCTGT